ACCTTCAGCACCTGATCTGTGGATTTGAATGCTACTCCTAGATCTGTGACCTTCTTGTCCAATCGCTTCAAATGATCCTCATTAGTTTTGCTTCGAGTTTCAGCCATCCCAGTCCCGTAGCTGCTCTGATACCAAATGTTATGGTTGGAGCTCAACTTCAACCAAAACTACATAACCCAATCAAATTAACACCAACAATTGAAAAAAACCAGCTGGGAATTAAGCTGTAATTTTATTAATTGAAACGAAATCACAGCTTCACGGTGAAACACAAAGAGAAAATAAAAAGAGAAATAAGAAAAGAGGAGAGAGAGAGAGAGAAAAGACATAGAGAAATTTGAGAGGGAAATTCACACTGAAAATAACTCTCCCATTCCTCTCTTTCTCATCTCGTTATAAAATAAAGAAATCGTATTATTCACTCTTGCAAAGTAAAAAACGTGTTCCAATTACAATTGAAATTCTTGGCTCAAAACGACACCGTTTCCTTCTTCCTGGTGTTCCTCTTGCCTTTGGTTCCCCACTTTAGCTGGTTAGCGCCTACACCATAACAATGAAACTATTGGCAAACATCAAATTGTGATTTGGGAAGCTTTATAGAAAGAGTTGAAGTACCAATTTTTGCCTTTGTAAGGGAGTCATTGATAAATCTAAAGCAAACGGACACGATATAAACGAAAGCTGACAAGTGGGACCAGCCTTTGAAACTAAGGTGATGCGTCCTAATAGCTAGTGAAACCACAAGGTGGCTAATTAATGTGCAATGGCCCCATCGTGCTCATAGATGTCCAACAAAGAAAGAGAATGGAATGATTTTTGAAGAATAGTAACATCGTACTTATAGGACTTATTTCTTCCCCGTTGAACGAAAAGGCACTTGCAAAATATGATAATGCACTTGTCATGTTGAAAGGAAAGAATTGTCATTACCTATGGATTCAGACAGTGAACCGACCATTCAACTTGAGGAGATATCAATTATTGACGAATAACATAAAGAGGATGACAAATTAGTTACAAATGAACCAATCGAAGAAGTGGAAGTTAATAAAGGTGGAATTAACATGCATTCTTTCGACCTCATTGATTGTTCAACAATTGAATTTGTGATTAAGCCCGAAGAGGAGATAGAAGTCTATATGGTTGATTTTGAATCGGATGTAATAGGCAAGTCATATAACATAGAAAGAGGCAATGTTAAGATTTGGAAAATAAACGAAAATTGGAGCAAAGTTAAAAAAGTAAACTGAGCAATGCATCAAAAGCTTTTTTCAGAATTTCATGACACAAATTGTCAAAGTCAAGCCAATAAATTTAAATAAACGCTTATTGGGAGACAAATAAATTTTCTTCTCTTTTATTTATTTTTCTTTCTATAATACAAGATTAGTAAATTTTATTACTTCTAGTAGTTTATGGTATCTTCATCACCATATTTTCCGTATAGATTGTGTTTGAACTTATTATAAATTGGTCCATATTATAATTGATTTATATTTATTTTAAAGGAACGTGACACCTGAACACATTAGACAAAAAAAGGCATAGCAAATAATCTAACACTTTCATGACAGTCCATCCACCACCTACAAATTCATATCAAGGCAGTACTTAGTTTCTTTTTTATCCTTAATTTTTAATATTGCTTGTTATATTTTTAGACATTAAGGGCCATGTTTTTTATAAGTTTGAAAGTGAAAAAATATCGAGTATTTATTTATTTGATTGTTTTGTGTGCTTGTTTGTGGGAAAAAAAAATTGAATTATTTCCTGCTTTATTTTTGCTTTGTTTACTTGTGTGGGTTAAATAATCTTATCTACTTTGATGTATATATTTGGAATCATGTGTTAGACTATAAATTGTGAGAAAATTTGCATGTTAGGCTGATTTATGTGTGTTCATGTGAAATTTGATATTTTGCGCAGAAGATTTATATTTTGTGTCATGAATGATTAATTTGATTCAAAATTTTGAACAGGTTGAAAAATAGTGAACCTTAGATGCTAAAACCTAACAAACACTACACTATACATCCTTAACCAATTCTATGATAGTTTGGGAATGATTGAACTGTTGTAAAGAGACATTGGCATAAATATGGATTCTGTGTGTACTATTTTTTTTTTTTTTTTTT